CCTCCTGAGCCCGCTCCCCCCCCCCGCCCTAGGCTCCTCCGCCCTCCCTCTTCTTTCTCTCCTCCCTTCTTTACAGGGCAGGGTCCACGTTTCGCCATAGTCTCTTCCGTCCAATCCCTGTGCCCGGCGCCGGTCGGGGCTACCAATCCCAAGCTTGCGACCGCAGCGGGTTGCATCATGTGCCTCTGGCTGGGTGACAGCGAAGAGGGGCGGGGGAAGTCGGGAGGGAGGGGGCGGAGCCACGTTAGCCACCCCCCACCCCCCCCAGCCTCGGAGGTCGGACGCTGGGTGCCTGTGGCGTCATTGGAAGCCCGCCTTCGTGCTCTAGTTTTAACTCTTGGTTCACCAACCAGCAAATTTAAAACCCTCTTGAGAAAGTCTGAAGAAGGAAGGTCATATGGCTGGAGAGAAGTCTGGTTGCTGCCCTGCGATCGCCTGTCACATCTTGGGGGCCCTGAGAAAGGGAAGAGCCTTGTCTGCCATGAGGGGGCCCCACACGTGCAGAAACAGCCCTCTACCCCTGGAATTAAAAGGGTGCAGTTCCTGGATCTTAAGTCACCCCACTTTTGAGGTGTAGTTAGGTGTAGAAGCTAAGGCAGGGACTCTGGGAAGGCTCAGATCTGGGCCAGGAAGAAAATCGAATTTAGAATGCACTGAACTGGGACTAGGGAGAGTGGCTTGGCATTCTAGAGAATTTTGTGATGTTGGGGTAGACAGAAGGCCTCTCAGGGCTAATATCCTGCTGTTCTGAGCAAGAAGGGGTTAACAGGGGAGCTAGGCGTCCAGGGCGGGGCCAGGACTACAGCTGGATACCGCGGGCGCGCGCGCGTTGCTGACTCAGCGGCGATTCCCGCAGTCACTGGTGGAGGGTTCCAGGTCCGCTCCCGAGGGCTAGCGTGCGGCACCCTTTGAGGATCTGGGCAGTTTCCTGGCCTTCCTTGACTCCTGGCTTCCAGAAGCCGAAGTTTTAAATCGCTGCCGCCTGAGGCTCTTGGAAACGACTACCCAAGCTAGGCTGGGAAGGACAGGGCAGAGACGTTAGGCCAACGCCTTCCCTGAAGACCTCTACGACCCGCCCTTTTCACCCCTAGACTCGGGCTGGAGCGGTGGGTACTGCTTTGCAGACCGGATACTAAACTGAGAAAATTGTCTCTTTTGAACACCACCCTGCTCGTTGTGATTGTGTAAAACAAAGACCAGAAATGAACGCACCTCTAGAGGCCATCATGACTGTACCTTCACACTAGATAAAAGGGGCCTGTACTGAGATTTCCTAGGGCTAGAGACATCACAACCATAATTCCTTCTGCTTCCGCTTCAGGATCCTAGACTCTTGCCTGCAGGAGAGGTCTTTCTGATAATCTAACCTCCATGTTTCCTGGAAAGCACAGTGCATTTCCTCTGACTTGGTTCCCAGAGAAAATGTGGAACAGCAAGCATCCTTCCATCTCCCTACAGGCCATCTTGTTTTTTCTCCTAGGTGAGAAACTCCAAAACTCAACTTTTTGCTCTCTCTGTCTCTGTGTCTCTGTCTCTCTCTCTCTCTCTGCAGGATATCCTCCTGCCACAGCTTCTATAGTGCTGGAGTTACAACATCTATCTGTACATGGAGGCTAATTCATACTTTATTAGTTTTTTTTTTTCTTTCCATCGCAGAATTTTACAAGGGATCCAAAAGCTCACTCAAAGCAGGAGTCTCCGGTCCAGTACCCCTACCACCAGACCAGAACCAGGCATATACAGTGCCAGATGGTTTCAGCTTGTACAATCCAGACTCTGGGAACTCAGTACTTGCTAAAGCAGCTTTACTGGATAGCGCTAGGGTTGTTAGAAAGCCCTTTCTGACACTGGCTCCAGAGGAACCCCTGCCCCTCCTCTCCTGGCAGCTTTCCCATCTCACCTCGGTTGGCAGAGACTGGGTGAAGGCAGAGAGTGTCAGTCAGTACTCAAAGCTTTAGCTGACTCAGCATCCCCCCCCCCAGCACCTCCCGCTCAGAGTCAAGCACTGGCATGGGGGTTGAGGGTGTTAACCCACTGCCTCTGACCTGCTACAACTCGTTTCCAAAGTTGGTGATTCAAAAATAGTAACAGTGGTTGGGTTGCAACTCATTTGCATGGTATCAATTTAATTAGGTGCAGAGATAATAATCCCTTTAGGTCCTTACTTCTTTCTCAGCGTTTCCCCACCTACTATCCCTTTTCAGTACCCTCCTTGGAATCCTTTCCTTAGCCCTCCCCCCTACTCTCCCTTTTCAGTACCCTCCTTGGAATCCTTTCCTTAGCCCTCCCCCCTTCTCTGGAATCCTAGCCTTAGTTGTCCCAGGAGAGACTGTGGGTCTCAGTGGGAGCCGAGCAGGAAGAAAGGCGGAGTCGGCGGCGGGGACAGCGGCCGCGCGGGTTAGGCCTTGGGCTGCATCCCCCACCTTGGAGCAGCCTCCGCAGGTCCTGGCGGAAGCGCAGGCCCAGAAAGGCATACAGCACCGGGTTGAGGCTGCAGCGGGCGAGGGCCAAGCCGCCGGTGACCAGCAGGGCCAGATCCTTGCGCTTGCTGGCAGGACAGCTCCGCTCGCGGGCTGCCAGGAGATCGGCCGTGTCCAGCAGCAGGGCGAGGCTGTACGGCAGCTGCAGCACTACGAAGGCCGCCACCAAGGCCACCACCACGCGCAGGGCGCGCCGCCGCTCCGGCCCCCTGGCGGCCAGAAGTGTGCGGCCCAGGAGCGCATAACAGGCTGCCATGACGCACAGCGGCAGCGCGAAGCCCAGGACCACCTGCGCCACTGCGCTTGCCCCCTTCACGGTCTGCGCGAGGCCTTCGGGGAAGACCAGGCGACAGCGCCGCTGACCTTCCCTTTGCCCGTCCCGGCTGAAAAGGAGTGCAGGTAGCGCCAGGAGCAACGAGAGCAGCCACACGAAGGCTGAGACCAAATGAGCTCGACCAGGCGTGGAGGAACGTTGCCCGGCTGGGAGAGCTCGCGCGATGGCCACATAGCGGTCGGCACTGATACAGGCTAGGAAGAGGAAGCCGGCGTGGAAGGAGGCCGAGTAGAGGCCCGAGATGGCTCGGCAGGTGGCACTTCCCAGATTCCAACCCTGAAGAGCCCCTGCTGCAGCAAAGGGCAAGGTCAGGGCCAATAGGAGGTCGGCCAGGGCTAGCTGGAGCAGGTGGGCGGATGTGGGGGAGCGGGCAGTGCGTCGGGCTGCCAGGTGGGTGGCCAAGACTAGGCCATTGCCCGCCAGACCCAGCACAGCCACCATCAGGGAGACACTGGGTTGGAAGGCCCGACTGAAAGCTTGGATATCCGCCTTGTAGCAGAGCTCCGGCATCGGCTCAACTGAATATGCCTCCTCATCGAACCCAGAGTAGGAAACCTGGGGACATCAAAATATAAGACATCTTCTCACACCACTCTCTTTCCCACACATGCATTCCTCCTTTGGAGTCCTTATGCGACCAGGGACAACAGTATACCAGGAGAGGACAGAAACACCTTCAGATTCCTTCTAGCACACCCTGAACAGGTCGTGGCTTCCCTTACACTCCTCCTGGCTCTGCTTCCAGTTTCCTCCTGGGTGACCTTGAGCAAGCCATTTGCTCTTTCTGGACTTCAGTTACTTAATATTATGCTGGGTCTAGCTGTCTTATCCAGCCCACCTGGCAAAGTTTGCAGTGAGGACTGTTTAAAAGAGGGAAAGAGAACAGATAATGGAAACATCTAGCTCTCCATAGATGGAGCATTTGTATTATTAATAAATCCTTGGCTCACCTGTTCCCTTTGCAGCGCCCTCTCCTGGAGGGATGGTCAGATGCAGGCTCTATCTCACACTTGGACCATGGACCTTGGCTTAGTCTGCAGGGCGTTTCTGTCACCTTTCCCTTCTGTACTCACCACCCCAGCTCTACACCAGCACAGACATACTGAAACACTCATGCCAAGGGGCCTCTAACAGAGTGGGCTTGAGTTCAAATGGGCTCCTGCACAGATCATTGGTTGGCAGAAGCCTGCTGTCAGGTCCCATGCCTTCCCCCTTCCCCACCCTCTCTGTAACCCTTCTCCCCCTCCCTGCCCCCAATCCCACCTGCTCTGTGGGCTCGGTCCCCATCTCTGGCTACAAGCGTTTCTGAGGTATAGCCACAGAGAGGTATAAAGTTAAGTAACTAGTGGGACAGGAAGGAAGGGGTGGGGAGAGGTACCAAGGGGGGTGGAGATGGTGGGGATTAGGGTCCATGTGTTCACTTTTCCATTCCACCTTGCCCAAAAGGATTTCTCTTAGCCTTGCCAATGGAAAAAGAATGGCTGATCTTGAGTAAGATTTGGTTTTCCCTCTCAGCCTCAGACTTTCCATCTGTAAAGTGGAGTAAGATGAAAATGCTGAATTCACTGTGTTATGAAGGTACCCAGTACCGAGCTTGGAGCATCATTTTGAAAATAACGTTTGAAGGTGGGTGTGGTGGTGCATGCCTTTAATCCCAGCACTCCGTAGGCAGAGGCAGGCAGATCTCTGTAAGTACAAGACCAGCCTGGTCTACATAGTGAGTTCAGGTCAGCTGGGACTACAGGGAGACCCTGTCTCAAAAAGACAAAAACAAAAAACAACAAGAAAATAATGTTTGAGAAAGTATTATTTTATTTGCCCTTCATCCCATCAATTGCCCCCCCCTCCTGAAATTTTTGGGGTCTATTTGTCTCTTGAATCTTTTTTTTCCACCCTGCAGTTGTCAGTCTTGGGGGTTACTGGGGTATTTCCCAGTGGCTTCAGGTTCTTTACCCCCGCCCCGCCCTTTCGCATCAGGGCTGAGGCACGCGCTTGCGCGGGGTCCGGGAAAACGCGCGTGCCAGGAGAGAGAGAGAGGCTGGGGAAGTGGGGGAGGAGAAAGGAAGAGAGGGTGGAGAGGAGAGGAGAGGAGAGGACAGGACAGAGAGAGAGAGAGAGAGAGAGAGAGAGAGAGAGAGAGAGAAGAGAAAGACGGGGGGCTAAGGAGAGACGGGGGGGTGGGTAAGGACGAAGAAACAGCGATCTGCCGCGAACCCCAGGAGGAAAGCTGGGAGCCTGAGCCAGAACTGAAGCCCTAGCCGGATCAGGACACAGCGAGGCGGCAGCCACCCCAGGGCTGGTCAGCCCTGCATGATGAGTCTCCGGTTCTTCTGCATCCTCGCCGCGGTGGTCTCCGGAGCTTGGGGCTGGGGCTACTGTGAGTGCGTCTCGGAGACAGGTGGGATTGGGCCCAGGAGTTCAGAGTCTGCAGGGCGAGTCCCTCACCGCATTGCGGCTGGGTGGTCGCCGGTCGTTCCCTGCCACCGCCTGCCGGCTCGTTCCCATATTTTTCTGCCTCTCCCCCGCTCTCCGCAATGCAGTTCAGAGACAGCTGCGCGCGCCCGGGGCCGGGGCTGGGCTCTGAGCCGAGCATCCAGTCAGCCCAGGTTGGGATTTGGAACTGTTAATCCCAGCGGGAGCCAGTGCCTGGGTTTGAGGTTAGGGTTAGCTATAAGTGTGGTACTGGTGACCTAGGCTAGAGTTAAGGTTTTTCACCGAGGGGCTTGTGCTGGAATTTGGAACCGACCCTGGGACTGAGTAGGGTTTGTGGCTGGGGCTAGGTTTTATGGCTGGAATCCAAATAGGAGTTGGTGATCCTGACTGAGGCCAAGGATGGCGTTAGGAAAGAGATTGGGAAGTGGCCCGGTTGGGAACAAGGCTTGAATTGGGGGGGGGGGGGTGTGCAGGGTTTTCTTGTGGTGAAGGACTGATGAATGGTAAGACTGATATAGATTGGGGTTCTGGACAGGTTTAGGTTCTTTCTTAAAGATGCTGAAGTTTGGGGATTGTGTTTGTGATACAGACCAGGTACTGGGGTAGGAAGGATCTGGCTTTGGATCCACAGATCTAGCCTAAGACTACTAAGCAGAAGGCAGCCTCCCCTCTGGGAGCAGCTGTTGCTGAAGCCCAGGTTGAGTGCACTGCTTTAAGGTAGGGCTGACTCGGCCACTGGGGGGCAGAGAAGAGGCGCTTCCACCACCAGTGGGCCTAGCCTTAGGAAGAGGGGCCATACTAACAAGTTCATTTCCTCACCCCAGATGGATGCGATGAGGAGCTGGTGGGGCCTCTGTATGCGCGCTCCTTGGGCGCCTCCTCCTACTATGGGCTCTTCACTACAGCCCGCTTTGCCCGGTTGCACGGTGAGCTGGCCCAACCAGGGAGGGGCGGAGGACTCCAGAGAGCTGGGAGAGAAGGGCAGTAGGTGATAAAAGCCCTTGCCCCTTCTGTAGGCATAAGTGGATGGTCGCCCCGGATTGGGGACCCGAATCCCTGGCTTCAGATAGACTTAATGAAGAAGCATCGCATCCGAGCTGTGGCCACACAGGGCGCCTTTAATTCTTGGGATTGGGTCACACGTTACATGCTGCTCTATGGCGACCGTGTGGACAGCTGGACTCCGTTCTATCAGCAAGGGCACAACGCGGTACTCTCGGCGCCCAGGCGCGCACACTTGGGGAGTCTTCCCTGCTTTGGGCCCTGGGCTTGGGCACTAGCTTGAAGGGAAGGGGAGGGAACAGCATGAGGCGCAGGTGAGGACTCTCCTCCTGGGCTATATCCCAAAGGAGATTGTTACTCTCCCGATCACAAGGCTTAACTAAACACTTTAGGGTAAAATCTAGGAGACCTTCCTATATAGGATGGTGGCAGAGGACATTCTAAGAAAACTATACGCATAGTCATGGAGGCAGGGGAGTTGGAGGGACACCGCCCCTTCCCCAAGTCAAGACTGGGGAGGCTTGAAGGCCATGTAGGCTGGGAAGCTGAGGACAATGAAGCTGAGGGTGGGGACGTGGTTACTACTTTCCCCAACCCCTGCAGACATTCTTCGGTAACGTGAATGAGTCCGCGGTGGTGCGCCACGACCTGCACTACCATTTCACCGCCCGCTACATCCGCATTGTGCCACTAGCCTGGAACCCGCGTGGCAAGATCGGCCTGCGGCTGGGCCTCTACGGCTGTCCCTACAGTAAGGGTGTGGAGGTCTGGGGGACCGGGAGCCTGAGAGACAGAGGGTCTCCCTGGTCCTCCGCCCACCCACCGTCCTTCGCAGAGTCCGACATACTGTATTTCGACGGCGACGATGCCATCTCCTACCGCTTCCCGAGAGGGGTCAGCCAAAGTCTCTGGGATGTGTTCGCTTTTAGTTTCAAGACCGAGGAGAAGGACGGACTGCTGCTACACGCCGAGGGCGCCCAGGGTGATTACGTGACGCTTGAACTGCAGGGGGCGCATCTGCTGTTGCACATGAGCCTGGGTGAGCACGCCCAAGCCTGGTCTTCCCCATTGCTGTCTGGACCAAACTGCCCTTTTCTAGAAGCACTTGGCGCTCTCAAAACAATGGGCGAGGGGGTCAGGAGATCTGGATTCCACGTACCTGCTGTGTGACCTTGAACAAGGCGTTATAAACACACACAAACACGTTTGCTTTTTCCCCTAACATGCTGCTTTCATGCTGAGTTTTACAGATAGCAAAATGGAGGCTGAGTTAAATGGCTACCTCTCCCCCTTCCCGCCCCAGGCTTCAGTTTGGTCCCCGGAAGCCACTCTGTGTTGCTACCCTTCTGCTGGGAGCTGGGGCCCGCTGGAGTTCTGGGTCCACCTCACTCTGACCCGCCTCACCCCCAGGCAGCAGCCCCATCCAGCCAAGACCAGGTCACACGACAGTGAGCGCAGGTGGCGTCCTTAACGACCTACACTGGCACTATGTGCGAGTGGACCGTTATGGCAGGGATGCAAATCTCACCTTGGATGGTTACGTCCAGCGCTTTGTGCTCAACGGCGACTTTGAGAGGCTGAATCTGGACAATGAGGTGAGCAAGGGTGGGGGAGCCATTTGGTTGGGTGTGATACTGAGTGAGTGGGTGGGGGAACCTTCCCCCCTCCCCCACTTCTTGGCAGACTTCCTGCTCTTCAGACAGGCTGTTGTTCTGGGCCCCACCTCAGAACTACTAAAATGGGCCTAGAAATCCAGATTTGAGGGATCAAAGTAGAAAACTGTCCCCTTGTCTCCTTCCATAATTCTGTGGAGTTCATAAAAACCCTGCCTCCATCCACTGGTAAAGAATTTAAGACAGGCTTACTGACCTGCTCCGGGAGTGCAGCCAACTTGCGGTGGAGCCACCGCTCAAACCCAAGCCTGGGGAGGGCCATGCAAGCTTTAACATCGACCCTGGTGAAATGAGTTTCAAGACTTTCAGCCTTGTGGAAAGAGTACGGTGCGCACGCGCGCTCTTGTGCTTAGGAAACCTGTTTTCACACTTCCCACAGATGTTCATAGGGGGTTTGGTGGGTGCGGCGCAGAAGAACCTCGCCTATAGGCATAACTTCCGGGGCTGCATGGAAAACGTGATCTTCAACCGGGTCAACATCGCCGACCTGGCAGTGCGGCGCCATTCCCGGATCACCTTTGAGGCCAGTGGACAGGGGGATCTGGGAGGATGGTGACACTTGGAAAGCAAAGAAGTGGACTGGAAAGAGGTTCCCCTCTCAAGAGCCAGATTGTGAAGTGTGTGTGTGTCGGGGGGGGGTGTATCACCAGCTCATAGGAGGTGTAAGAGCCACTCACCCCTTAGTTAAGAAGTTGTGAACAGGTCCAGTTACCTCGTTAGTTCATAGATGAGGAAAATGAGGTGCAGAGGCAGGGAGGAGTTTGACCAGGAGCATGCAATTGCAGAGTGGCAGGGGAGGGATTTGAACCCGGAACTCTTTTGATAAGCTTTGCCCACTGGCTTCCAACTCTAGGGCTGATGCGCATGCTCTGCAGCCCTTGCGCTGAGCTGGTCTGGTACTACCTCCTCCCGCCAAGAGGAAAAAAAAAAGCATTCACCTTGCAGTCGGTGTGATCAGTGATTTAAAAAAAAAAAAAAAAAAAAAAAAAAAAAAAAAAAAAAAAGCAAGCGAGCAGAGTCCCTCACGGAGGCTTTTGTGGGACCCTCTACAAATGGACATATTTGCTGGGGATGGAAGGGTCATACCCCAGAGTGTCAGGACAGGGTCTTAAACCCAGTGTGAAAATTCAATTCCCAACAGAGGCAGGTACCCGACCTCCCTGTCCTGAACGTAATTCTCACTTTCGCCTCCAGGGTAAGGTGGCCTTCCGTTGCCTGGACCCGGTTCCACACCCCATCAACTTCGGAGGCCCTCACAACTTTGTCCAAGTGCCTGGTTTCCCGCGTCGGGGACGCTTCGCAGTCTCCTTTCGATTCCGCACCTGGGACCTCACCGGGCTGCTCCTTTTCTCCCGCCTGGGAGACGGGCTGGGTCACGTGGAGCTGATGCTTAGTGAAGGGCAAGTCAACGTATCCATCGCGCAGACCGGCCGCAAGAAGCTTCAGTTTGCTGCAGGTGAGGGGATCTCTGGGCTGGACAAGGGTGGAGGCTGGAGAAGGATGGAGCAGGGCTAGGGAGATCACAGGTCTGGACTGAGCACTTCCCATACCTGAGAGAAGAGGCTGGGCACAAACCAGGAGGTGGAGGAGGAGGGGTGCAGGAAAGGTAAGAATTTGGAGGCATAATTGATGGAATAAAGGCTCTGGAAGAAGCAGGTGTTCTCTTGTCCTGGGTGTTCCTGGAGATGTTTTCTCACCATTTCCAACTTTGCAGACTGTGTGAGTAGCTGGGGTTATGGACAGTGAAGAGACACTTAGAGGTGTCACTGCTCAGGGGGAGAAGTGTAATTATGGGGTGCATCTAGACTGTTTAGGACACAGAGTGGAGCTGCCTTTTCCTCACTCAAGACCTTCTCACTGAATGTGGTGGCTTATGCCTATAATTCTTGAGAGGCCAAGGCAGGAAAATCACAAATCTGAGGCTAGCCAGGACTAGTGAGTTCCAGCCCAGTCTGAGATACAGAGAGACTCTGTCTCAAAAACAAAACAAGGGGACTGGAGAGATGGCTCAGCAGTTAAGAGTGCATACTGCTCTTGCAGAGGACCCACAACTGCCTGTAACTCCAACTCCAGGGGATCCAACTCCCTCTTCTGGCCTCCTTAGGCATTGCACTCACTTGTACACATGTGCACAATCATGCACAACTATAAATAAAAGAGACAGGGCATAATGGTACCTGCCTTTAATCCCAGCAGAGGCAGGTGGATCTCTGTGAGATCGAGGCCAGCCTGATCTCCATAAGTGAGTTCCAGTCCAGCTGTGGCTACAGGGAGACCCTGTCTCAAAAAGACCAAATTAAAAAAAAAAATAGAATCTTTAAAATTTTTTTAAAAGTTATATGGGCCAGACATAGTGGCACATGCCTTTAATCCTAGCACTCGGGAGGCAGAGACAGGTGGATCTCTGTAATGTCAAGGCCAGCCTGGTCTACATAGTGAGTTCCAGGCTAGTTGGGGCTACAGGGAGACCCTGTCTCCAAAAAAGAAAAGTTATATTTTATGTGTATGAGTGTTTTGCCTGCATGTAAGTGCACTATATGTGTGCAGTACCCATGGCGGGCAGAAGAGGGTGTTAGATCCCCTGGAACTGGAGTTAGAGATGGTTGTGAGCCTCCATATGGATGCTGTGAACTGAACCTAGGTCCTCTGTAAGATCTTTTAACCACTAAGCCATATCTCCAGCCTCCAAAAATAGACTATTTAAAAAAAATTTTTTTAATTATTATTTTATGTGTATGCGTGTATTGCCTGCATGTAGGTAAGTGCACCCATGTCGTGCAATGCCCACGGAGGTCAGAAGAGGCTGTCGGATCCCCTGGGACTGGAATTATGGACAGTTGTTAGCTGCCATATGGGTGCTGGGATTCAAACCTGGATCTTCTGCAAGAACAACCAGTGTTCTTAACTACTGAGCCATGTCTCCAGCCCCCCAAAAATAGACTCTTAAAAAAAAACAAAAACCATGGGGCTGGAGAGATGGCTCAGCGGTTAAGAACACTGACTGCTCTTGCAGAGGACCTGGGTTCGATTCCCAGCACCCATATGGCGGCTATGAACCATTCTTAACTCCAGTTCCAGGGGAATCTGAAGCCCTCTTCTGACCTCCGTGGCATTGCATGACACGGGTGCACTCACATACATGCAGGCAATACACTCATACACTTAAAAAAAAAAAAAAAAAAAAAAACCAAGCCACCACATCCTTAGTCCCAGGACTCAGGAGGCAGAGATGGGCAGATCTCTGTGAATTCAAGGTCAGCCTGATCTACATAGCAAGTTCCAGATCAGCTGGAGCTACATGGAGACCCTGGCACTCAAAAAGACCAAAAACCAAACAAAACCAAACAAACATCCAAAAGATGGTCTCTTATTCTGGTCACTGCTTCCACCCACCCACTCCATCCTCCTTTTTTGTCTAGGGTTCCGTCTGAATGATGGCTTCTGGCACGAGGTGAACTTTGTGGCACAGGAAAACCATGCAGTCATCAGCATTGATGATGTGGAGGGGGCAGAGGTCAGGGTCTCATACCCACTGCTGATCCGCACAGGGACCTCATACTTCTTTGGGGGTACGTGTGGGCCAACTTGACCAGACCCCTGTCTGGGTACGAGGACCCATCTCAGTGTTGATGGGGCCACATGGAGATTTTTGTAGGTGTCTTGGGGGCCATGGAGTGTCATCTGCACTTTGGTTCTAGCTCTCTTCCTTTCTTTCTTTATGAATAGCTCCCTCTTGACATCTCCCCAGGGGAAGGGTCTCTGGGTTCTCTCCTGGGCAGGGCCTCACAGGGGGTGGTTGCTCCAGGTTGTCCCAAACCAGCCAGTCGATGGGGCTGCCACTCCAACCAGACAGCATTCCATGGCTGCATGGAGCTGCTCAAGGTGGATGGTCAACTGGTCAACCTGACTCTCGTGGAGTTCCGCCGGCTGGGATACTATGCTGAGGTCCTCTTTGACACATGTGGCATCACGGACAGGTATCCAGAAGCCCCTCTCCCTAACAAGACATGACCCTCCAAAGCCTATTTCCATGCAGTCAGAGCCTCCTCCTTGCCTCAGCTACTTAGTCCTCCTCATCTAGACAAGATTCTTTCTTGACCTCAGATCTCATTTCTTCCCGTGAAGTGAAGGATGGAAATGAAATTTCTATTCTTTGTCCTAAGATTCAGTGTGTTTATCAGGGGCTGGGAATGAAAAAGACAACTTTCCTTCCTCGGGGGAAGGGAGGACAGCAGTACAGGAGTCCTCTGGACTTCTTAGTGTCCCTGTATCCCTGGTTGTATCCCAGCTAGTTAGGTGGGAAGTGAGCCTCTAGGTCCTGGTGTTCCGGATAACTGGGAGTGACCTCCTCTCAAGCTCCCAGCAAGTCTCCTTCCCTTGGTGCTGATCCCTTCCTCAGATGCAGCCCTAATATGTGTGAACACGATGGTCGCTGCTACCAATCCTGGGATGACTTCATCTGCTATTGTGAACTCACTGGCTACAAGGGAGAGACCTGTCACCAACGTAAGCTGGATGGGGTTGAGTGTCAGGGGGAGGTTGTTGTGGATCATGGGACTAGTAGAGATGGCAGGGCTGGCCCTTCTTGCCCTCTAGCTCCACAATTGTCTCTTTACTCCTACTAGCTTTGTATAAGGAATCCTGTGAAGCTTATCGGCTCAGTGGGAAAACTTCTGGAAACTTCACCATTGATCCTGATGGCAGTGGACCCTTGAAGCCATTTGTAGTGTACTGTGATATCCGAGGTAGGTGACTCTGATGGGTGGTGAGGGGGAGTTGACCAGGAAATATAGGAGATGAGGGGGGAACAGGGAAGCAGCATGGGGGGTGGGGCTTGGCGAGATGAAACTGCAGTGGAGATGAAGGACAGAAGGGATGGGGGACACTTAGGAATTTGCAATATAGATATATTCCAACTTCCTGGCCAGTCCAGTGGCCTCATCTCCATCCTCCTGGAAGGCCCAGGGTTGGGCTGAAGTGGAATTGCTACACACTTTTAATTGATTGTGGGTGGCAGCAGGGTTGGTGGGATGGGTAAGGAGCAGGACAGAGAATGCTCATGTCCAGCCAAAGCTCTGTTCCCTCTCCTCCTCCAGAGAACCGAGCATGGACAGTTGTGCGACATGACAGGTTGTGGACAACTCGAGTGACAGGGTCCAGCATGGAGCGGCCCTTTCTGGGAGCCGTCCAGTACTGGAATGCCTCTTGGGAGGAAGTCAGTGCACTGGCCAATGCTTCCCAGCATTGTGAGCAGTGGATTGAGTTCTCCTGCTACAATTCCCGGCTGCTCAACACTGCAGGTTGGGGCTGGCAACAGGGAGGGTGAGGTAGATGTGCTGGACCAGAGACTGGGTTGCGGGTGGGGGCCGTTGGAGCTAGAGGAGTTGAACAAAGTCTAGACTGCTTAGACCTGGGTGTGAGGGGCCCAGAGGCTGACAGAGGGGCAGGGCCTGGAAGTTGCCTGGCGTCTTCCCCAGGAGGCTACCCCTACAGCTTTTGGATTGGCCGAAATGAGGAACAGCACTTCTACTGGGGAGGCTCTCAGCCTGGGATCCAGCGCTGTGCCTGTGGGCTGGACCGGAGCTGTGTGGACCCTGCACTGCACTGCAACTGTGATGCCGACCAGCCTCAGTGGTGAGCTGACAGGAGGACAGGGCTTTCAGGACTCTGGGGGCAGCTGAGTGACAGGGTTGAGTCACTGCATCTTGCCTCCACAGGAGAACGGACAAGGGACTGCTGACCTTTGTGGACCATCTGCCTGTCACTCAGGTGGTGGTAGGGGATACAAACCGCTCCAGTTCCGAAGCTCAGTTCTTCCTGAGGCCTCTGCGCTGTTACGGTGACCGTGAGTGACAGACCCCTTTGATGTGCCTTCCTGGAATTGGCTTTTCAGGTTCCAAAGCCTAGGTTACCTGAACCACTGGGGATCTCCAGGCCACATGGCCAGATGCTCTTCCTATGAACTGACCCCCATCGTCCTTAATCCTCTGCACCTTACTATTCGTGCATCCCACTCCTTAGTCTTTCCTGTGTCACCCCAACTCTTTCCCTCTGCCTTTCTCTTGCCCACTGAGGCTCCCTTGCTCCTCCACCCTTCTACCTCCTTGACAGGCTTCCCTTGATCTGTTTTTGTAGGCAATTCCTGGAACACCATCTCCTTCCACACTGGGGCTGCACTTCGCTTTCCCCCAATTCATGCCAACCACAGCCTCGACATCTCCTTCTACTTCAGGACCTCAGCTCCCTCAGGAGTCTTTCTGGAGAACATGGGGGGCCCTTTCTGCCAGTGGCGGCGACCTTACATTAGAGTGGAACTCAACAGTGAGCACGCAGACTCTGTAGGGATAGATGAAGGAGATCGTTGGGGAGGCTGGGTAAAGAATAGGGCAGTCAAGTTTTTGAGAGGTAGCAGGGAAAGGGCCTGAGATGACTCTGGATCCTAGACTTACTGTCTTGGTGTGTGTCTCTGTGACCTTAGGTACTTTGCCTCTGTGGGTCTCAGCCCCTTCCTTATGGAGAAGGGAGAGAGACTCCTGAGGTCTCAACCCCCTCTAAGTAGCTGTGCTTTTAGCCTGAGCACGGGGGCTGGGAAGTTGACTCCAGGGATCTGCAATTTTGAGAAACTGAGGGTTTGCAGTTTGAAGCAATTTATAGGTTTTGTCTTGGGCTATGGGCAAGGTGGAGGAATAGTCAAGAGGCTCCTAATACATGAAGAAGAGAGACTGTATTGGGCAAGGACGCTGTGAGGGATCTTGGAGATCTGAACCTTTTTCTCCCCTTCCTCCCTACCATGCTGTCCAGCATCCCGGGATGTGGTCTTTGCCTTTGATGTGGGGAATGGGGATGAAAACCTGACTGTGCACTCAGATGACTTTGAGTTCAACGATGATGAGTGGCATTTGGTCCGGGCTGAAATCAACGTGAAGCAGGCCCGGCTACGAGTAGATCACCGGCCCTGGGTGTTGCGGCCCATGCCCCTGCAGACGTACATCTGGCTGGAGTATGACCAGCCCCTCTATGTTGGTGAGTAGTAACCCACGGGCAGGGTGAGACCTTCCTATCCTCTTGGGGCTATGCTCATATTTCCAGGAATGCCATGTCTTAGGTTCCAGTGTTCTCTGCTGCAGGGTGAGCCAAGGGACACCATTTCTCCTCCAGGCCTCATATTCTAGGAAATTCTTCTAGCCCCGTTGATTCCCCTCACCACATATAGTGTTTATTACTTTCTCTGGCTCTATAGTCATTCTGGGGGAGTTCTGGGGATGGGCCCCAGGGCCTTGCCCAAGTGAGTACTCTACCTTTGAGCTGCACCCCTAGCCCCTCCACTCATTTCTTGACCAGGATCGGCAGAGCTTAAGAGGCGCCCTTTTGTGGGCTGCTTAAGGGCCATGCGTCTGAATGGAGTCACTCTGAACCTGGAGGGTCGTGCCAATGCCTCTGAGGGTACCTCCCCAAACTGCACGGGCCACTGCGTCCACCCCAGGTTCCCCTGTTTCCATGGAGGTCGCTGCGTGGAGCGCTACAGCTACTACACCTGTGACTGTGACCTCACAGCTTTTGATGGGCCGTACTGCAACCATGGTCAGTGCTGGTGGTTATGGAGGGACAGGCAACCTTAGGGCTTAATGGGATGTCAGGAGAGAAGGGAAGAGAAAGGGGTGCAAAGTCAGCATCTGGGAAAACTAGAGTTGTTAGTATACTTCTGAGCTCTTAAATGGGGGTCTTAGGCATCTGAAGATAGTGGGTGACTCCAAAGTCATAAAGGACAAGCAACGATGGTAAAGCTAGTAGATACTAGAAGAACCCCAAAGCATTAATTAAGCAAATGACTTCCCCATCCTCCCATTATCACCAAGGTAACACAGGGTGCTCCCCACCCCATTGCGTATCAACTTTGTGTGTGTGGGTATGCAGATGTGTATCATGTGCATGTGTGAGGGTGCATACACATGTATCTGGAGGCCAGTGGTCAACTTCAGGTGGTGTTCCTTGGCTGCTGTCTACACTGGGATTTTTTTGAGACAAGGTCTCTCATTGGGGCCTGGAGCTCATCAATTAGGCTAGGATGGTTGGCCAGTGAGCCCCAGCCATCCTTTCTCTGTTTCCTCAGAAGTGGTATTACAAGTGTGTGCCACGATACCCAGCTTTTTTCTTTTTAAAGATTTTTTTTATGTGTATGAGTGGTTTGCCTGCATGTATGTGCACAACATGCATGCCTGGTTCTCATGGAGGCCAGATGGTTGTGAGCTGCCATGTGGGTGCTGCTCACTGAACCCAGATCCTCTGCAAGGGCAGCAAATGCTTTTAGCCTCTGAGCCAGCTCTCCAGACCACCACACCCAACTTTTTTTTTTTTTTTTTTTTGTTTTTTTTGAATATTCCCTCATGTAGGTAAGTGCACCCGTGTCGTGCAATGCCTGCGGAGGACAGAAGAGGCTGTCCCCTGGGACTGGAGTTATGGACAGTTGTTAGCTGCCATGTGGGTGCTGAGATTCGAACCTGGGTCTTCTGCAAGAACAACCAGTGTTCTTAACCACTGAGCCATTATGTAGACCAGGCTGGCCTTGAAACTCACAGAGATCTGCCTGCCTCTGCCTCCCAAGTGCTGGGATCAAAGGCATGAACCACCATGCCCGGCCCATATCCAACTTTTTTAAAAAAGCTTTTTGTGTGTATGAGTATTTGCCTGCATATATGTGTGTGTACCACATGCATGCATGGTGTCCACAGAAGCCAGGAGAGGGCATCAGAAACCCCCGGAACTGGAGTTACAGACAGTTGCAAGCTGCCATGTAGATGCTGGGAACCGAACCTGGGTCCTCTGCAAGAGCAGCCAGTGCTCTTATTCTCTAAGCCATCTCTCCAGTCCTCATCCCCATCTTTTTATGTGGGTGCTAGTGACCAAATTTAGATCCTCATGCTTGTATAACAAGCACTTTACTGTGAACTAGCTTCCTAGCTTCAGTATTGGCTTTTGGTTGCACAGTGCCCCTCTATACCATTACCTGTCTGACACATCACTGCATTCCTAAAACATGTCTACAACCTGCTTCTTGGTTGAGGTGCACCTTGACATTCAATATAACAAGATTCTGTATAGACTCAGACTACATTTTCCCTAAGGCTGGGCCAAGGTGATTGGTGAGTAGGTGGGTTAGTGTGGGCAGAGTCTGGTGGTCCAGGGAGGTACAGGGAATTTTGAACAACAGAACATTGTGGCCATGGTTTGGAAGTATCAATTGGATGGAGTCAGAATATCTCAATTCTAATCTTGGCTCACCATTTACTGTGTGTCCTTGGGCAAGTAACTACTGATCTCTGGGCCTAAGTTTCCTCACTTATAAAATGTATGGCTGTGGCCAGGCATTGTGACACGTCTTTAGTCCCAGCACTCAGGAGGCAGAGGCAGGCAGATCTCTGTGAGTTTGAGGCCAGCCTGGTCTACATAGAGTTTTCCAGGCCAGCTGGGGCTACAGGGAAACCCTGTCTCAAAAAGACAAAAAATAAGTAAATACATATATATATATATGGCTATGATTAGATGATCTTTCAGATTTCTCCTGCCTTTAACTTTCTATTCAGTAATGGATGAAGTGGTGCACCTGTAATCCCAGCACTTTAAGTTAGGTCTGAGGTAGAACTGTGCGTTTGGACTACAGAGTGGGGCTCTGTCTCAAAAAAAAAAAAAAAAAAAAAAAAGTTTCTATGAAAAGTAAATGGAAATAGTGACAAACTGAAGGGAGACTTGGTAGGTTCATGGGTGGGTAAAAATCCTCTGAACTTGTCACTGAGAAGTGGGTTCCTCACCTTGCTGCCTCTGCTTTAGATATTGGTGGATTCTTTGAACCGGGTACCTGGATGCGTTATAACCTCCAGTCAGCACTTCGCTCTGCAGCCCGAGAGTTCTCTCACATGCTAAGCCGGCCTGTGCCAGGGTATGAGCCTGGCTATATTCCGGGGTATGACACCCCTGGCTATGTGCCTGGTTACCATGGCCCTGGGTACCGTCTGCCTGACTACCCACGGCCTGGGCGGCCTGTGCCTGGGTACCGGGGTCCTGTCTACAACGTTACAGGAGAGGAGGTCTCCTTCAGCTTCAGCACCAGCTCTGCACCTGCAGTCCTGCTGTATGTCAGCTCCTTTGTACGTGACTACATGGCTGTGCTCATCAAAGAAGATGGTAAGTCTCCATGGCTCTCTTCCCCCAGGTACCCAAATTCCTGTAACTACTAACTGATTAATACAAGGACCCGATATTTTGGAAAATGGGTTGTGGGAATTGAGAAAAGATCCCATGTCCCTCCTCCCCACCCCACAGGGACCCTGCAGCTTCGGTATCAGTTGGGCACCAGTCCCTATGTGTACCAGCTAACCACCCGGCCGGTTACAGATGGCCAGCCCCACAGCGTCAACATTACCAGGGTCTACCGCAACCTCTTCATCCAGGTATGGGTGGAAGGAGGTGGACCAGCTCATTTACAGCCTCATAATCTTGACTGTGACACCCAAGAAAATGTCAAATGCTTAATGCATGAAACACATCTCAATGTACAGAGGACTTCCTCCTGTTACCGTCTTTTGTGACCCTCATATCAGCTCTGTGGGTAGTTGTCAGGAGTCATTCTGATCTCCATTTCACAAACCAATAAAAAGGCTCAGAAAGTGTTTTTTTTTTTCAAAGTCAAACCACTACAGGCTGGGGTAGTGGCTTAGCTGGTAAGAGTAATTGCCTAGCATGTATGAGACCCTGGGTTCCACCCCCAGCACTGTATAAACTGGCCATGTAATCCCCAGCATTTGGGAGGTTGAGGCAGGAGGATCAGAAATTCAAGGTCATCCTCAGCTACACAGTGAGTTCAAGGCCAGTCTGGGCACATGAGACCCTGTCTCATAAAAGGGAGGGAAGGCTGGTATGATGGTTCAGCAGGTGAAGATGGTTGCCATTAAACCTGAGGACCAGAGTTTGATTCCTGGGATCACATGGTTGAAGGAGAGAACTGACTCCCATGGATTGTCCTCTGATTTCCACAGGCATGCTGTGGAATGCCCTGCCCCCAGTAAATCAATAAAACATTGAAAAAAGAAGAGTCAAACCACTAGTAAGCTGCAAAGACAAGGCTCAAAACCGAATGGTTTGAGCCACATCCCAAATCTTCCTTCTGTTCCCATGGGAATGAGTGAAGAGGGTTTGGATAAACCAAGTTCCTTTTGGTCTTGCTGTGTCCATCCTGGGCCTCGTCTCCCCACACTTCCCTTCCCCCAGGTGGATTACTTCCCACTGACAGAACAGAAGTTCTCTCTGCTGGTGGATAGCCAGCTGGACTCACCCAAGGCCTTGTACCTAGGGCGTGTGATGGGTAAGCTGCGGGTGAGGGTAAGTCTGGAGGAAGGAATTGTGGGTGAAGTTCCTGAAGTGTAGAGAGGAAGGAAGTGGGAAGAGTGGTGTGTGGTAAGGAGGGACAGAGGGAAATGGACCGAAGAGGGGCCGCGCTTCTGGATGTCCCACTCTCCTCTCTTTCTGGGCCTGCCACTCCCTCAGAGACAGGAGTCATTGACCCAGAAATCCAGCGCTACAACACCCCAGGTTTCTCCGGCTGCCTGTCTGGTGTTCGGTTCAACAATGTGGCTCCTCTTAAGACTCATTTCCGAACCCCTCGTCCCATGACTGCTGAGCTAGCGGAGGCCATGAGAGTTCAGGGGGAACTGTCGGAATCTAACTGTGGAGCTATGCCACGTCTCGTCTCTGAGGTGCCTCCGGAGCTAGATCCCTGGTATCTGCCCCCAGGTACATCCCCGGGACACAACTGAGGAAAGGGAGGGTTGACAGGGAAGGGAAATAGTTCTGACACGGGGTAGGTGTCTCCTAACCAGTGCTTTCTCCTCCTCAGATTTCCTGTACTATCACGATGATGGATGGGTTGCCATTCTCTTAGGCTGTAAGTAGCACTGACTCCTGAGCTGACCTCCCAAGTCCCTGTCAGCATTCCCTGGTTCTGTCCCCAAGGCTGAGGGGTGGTGAAGGTGCCAGATGTGAAATGGCACAAAGAAGGGTGAGATGGGCCATGCAGATGTCAGTGTATAACTGGGCGGAGATTTTTCAGTATTTAAGGATAGCATGAATTTTTAATTGAAATGAAATATTAAAATGCAGCCGTGGCTAAAGGATGAGGAAAGAGAGTTGCAATCTATCTAGAGAAATGAAAAATTGGAGGAGCTCTCAGGATCATGAAGAGAGTATTTAAAAAGTTGGCAGGGGATAAGCCAGGAATTCAGACCCACCAGACACCTGGAAATAGCCGGACGTGGTTGTATAATGGACTCAGTTGTCTGTGAATGCTTTTGGCCAAAAGTGTGTGTTGTGTGTCTATGTGTGTGTTGTGTTATGTATGTGTATGTGCTGTGTGTATGACCTCTGAATTTTTCCTTTTCTCTTTCAGTCTTGGTGGCCTTCCTGTTGCTGGGGCTGGTGGGAATGTTGGTGCTTGTCTATCTTCAACATCATCGCTACAAGGGCTCCTACCACACCAACGAGCCCAAAGCCACCCACGATTACCATCCTGGCAGCAAAACGCCCCTACCTCCTCCTTCAGGCCCTGCCCAGGCTCCTGCCCCCACTCCAGCTCCCACCCAAGTTCCAACCCCAGCCCCAGCCCCAGCCACTGGCCCAGGCCCCAGGGACCAGAGCCTCCCCCAGATCTTGGAGGAGTCCAGGTCGGAATGAGTGAGGGCTTCAGGACCAAGTCTAACTCCCCTGAGTTCCCCCCAACTCCTGCCTCTCCCCTACCCTGCCAGGGACATTTGGCTCCTCTTAGCAGGCTCTGTTCATCTGAAGGAGTCCCCTCTCGCCAAGTTTGGTGGGCAGAGCTACAGATGGGACCAAAGGGAGTGGCTGAGCCTCACTGCCTAAACCAATGCCCTGCTCATGCATTTCCCCAGGCTCCTGGATGGTTGCCTGCCCCACAGAAGCACCATGGGGCTGAGATGGGCCCTTCCTGCCATCTCTGTCCCAGCTGCTGCCAGGGATTAACAAACGGAGGGCAGGCGAGATGAACTGCCTCCCTTCCTGTGTACATTATCAGCAGGGACAGATGTGGGGATCCAGGGCTGCACAGGGCATCGGGGGAGGAGGCTGCTAAAACACCCCCCCGGGAGCCTCCCCCATGCCCTGCTGACCTACCGTCTTCCATCTGCTTCCCCTCAGCTGGGGGTGAGGGAGGGCTTTGTCCCTGTCCCCCACTCTACCCCCTTTTTGTTTCAGAGGCCAAGAGGCCTGTTTAGCACTTTAGTACCTCTGCTGCTTCACATGCTTTATCCAAAGCCATAAAAGCCTGCAAGTAGAGAAATTAATGCAGACACCCTGCCTAGCAAGCCCTGTCCTCTTCTACCCTTTCCCAAGATATGCAATAGCCTTTGTGCCTGTCTGCAGGCCTGGCCCCTCTCCACTGCATGAGGAACCCTCTTTCCTCCACTCAGAGATGCTGCTTCATTTGCCCAGGAGGTCATATTCTTTATATATTTTTGTTGCAATGTCTCTCCCCAGAGAAACTCTATATATTATTCTAATTTTTAAACTATCTGTTTATATATAAAAGAACTCACTGAGCTGTTCTGTGCTCTGCTGTGCAAGTCTGTAGTGAGCTCCTTCTGTGCTGGATGTCTCTTGAGTCCTGCGAGCAACTCGCCCGGCTTGCTGGGCCTCTACTCTGAAGCAGGGCTGAGCCTGCGGTGCCCTCCACTGAGCAGGTCCAATAAAGTGGAGTGGCAGAGCCCCAGTCTATGTGTGGTGGCTGACATCATGGTCAGGGATAAATGAAGGGTTAAGGGAACTACTCTGAGAGCAAGGGGATTTCTACATTTCTAGTTCTCAGAACCTATGCACCCCTTGCCAGGGGCTTCACCCTGGTCTGCCCTCCCAGGCCCTCAGACCTCTGAGAATAGACAGCTGAAGTTTCTGTCCAATCTGCTCTGATACCATCACCCCGATCCTTCCAGCCCAAAGCACATAGGACGCAACTTACCAAAATGGATTCTTACACTTTATTAGATAAGAGGTCACAAGCCACAAGACTTTAAAGTGCGTAAAATTCACTGGCAATAAAGCCACAAGTACACCAGCTCCCTACCAGTCCCTAGCACTCACTCCATCTTCCATGGGCCAGGGCAGGGGTGGAAGGTTGAAACCCGTCACTAAAGATGGGGGACAGCAGGGACAAAGGATGGGAAGGCTGGAGGAGCATGAGCATTAGTGGCCTGGAACTGTGGAAGGAGAGGCTGCCCGTGACTCAAGCCACAGGAAGGCTGGGGTCAGTATGACCCCTCAAAGGCTGAAACAAACATTTTTTAAAAATTGCCTGCACGTAAGTAAGTGCTCCCGTGTCACGCAATGCTGTGGAGGACAGAAGAGGGTTTCAGATTCCCCTGGAACCGGAGTTAAGAATGGTTCATAGCCGCCATGTGGGTGCTGGGAATTGAACCCGGGTCCTCTGCAAGAGCAGTCAGTGTTCTCAACCACTAAGCCATCTCTCCAGCCCTGGAATAAACATTTTTCAAACTGTTCCTCATGACCAGCCCCTGGCATTTCAGACTGACCTAACCCCTCCTCCATCTGTCTCTGGTTTTCTCCCTAAGAATTAAAGAGTAATTCGGAGCCTACTGTTGGGCTTGAGGGTATCCCTGAAACACACAATGGATACAAACCACAGCAGATGTCGATTTCAGAATTGTGGAGGGGGCTAGCCCATTTGAGGGAAGAGGCTGCTGGCCAGGAGCTGGCTGGGTATGCGCTGAGTGTAAGGTACATATGTGTGTGCCTGCCAGGGTGGTGAGTGTGTATACATGTTCCATTCAAAACCCTAAAAGGAGATATGGCCAGAGGGAGCCCCATTTCTTTGGCTGGAACAGTCCCTGGGATGGGGAGAAGGCAGTACCCAACACAGACCATGGGAGGAGAAGCTCTGGTTACCCAGACAGTAAGATGTCTGCTCCCCACTCTAACAATCCTTAGGCCTGTCTGTACCTGCCTGAGTCCTTTCTAGCCAGCACAATGTCCTTGTTCCCTACCAGCTCAGCACACCAGCTACATACCCAGGGCAGCTCCTACTGCCTAGTCTCTTTCATGTATCAAGCCAGCAACTCCTGCCTTTCCCAAGAGATGAGACAGGAACTGGAGGAGACTCTTCCACTTGTCTGCTCCTTCTGAGGTGGGATTTGGGCAGGGACCCCAGAGACCTTGGCTCAAACTCCACTCCAATCTACAGACCTTCTACAAGAAAGTTAAAGTGCTTTGTTCTGCATGAATCCCAGAGAATGGCACCCTACACTGGGACTGGTGGCCTGCCTGCTTCTCAACACTGCAGACACTGCCTGCCAGTCTGCCCTGTACCATGGCACCCTCCCAATATGTGCAGTGGCACCCTCACCCATGTGCCAACACACACTACCAACAGTACATGCTATAGACAGAGAAAAATCGCAGGGCAATGTTTCCTCTCTAGTGTAAACTGGGCCCAGCTACCCTGAAGAGAGAAGCAAAGCTGCTACATGGACCCAGACTCTCTGGGGAATGGAAGGCCTGAGGACAGCTGCAGTTCAGTGACCTGGAGTGCTCCCTCCTAAACAGGCTCGCTCAGCAGCAGCTTAAGGCCTGCCTGCAGTCACTGAGCCAGAACTTTGGAAGGAACTAGGACACTGGCTCCTGTTCTTGGGAGTTTAAAAACACCCAATCACTCCTATCACCCAAAAACCCCAATCACCCTTCTACAAGGAAGGCTTTCCCCAGGCCTCCTGAGCCTATGCTTCAGCAGCTGAAGTACGTCAGTGACACTTAAGCTTTCCCTCCCCGAGCCTTAAATTCCTGCTTAGCAGCCATGGAGATTTATCTCTGAGTTTAGTCTGCACTACCTGCCAGGCTCACCTCTAACCCAGAGCATCTGTAGGCTCCAGGGACACCGTCTCACTGAGCTATGCCTGTCAATGACAGAAAGACCCTTGACTGGGAAAGCTAAATGATGGCGATGGTTGATTCCTGAGGTCCACAGCTGGGGAGCTGAGGAGAAATCAGGCATCGCCATCTACTCTAGCCTGTGACTCCTCCTCTGAGACAGAGATGCAGCTCCCATGTTTGAACTCTGCTGGGAGAACAGGCCCTCACTGCCTCTGCATCCCTTCTGAGGCAGTTTGTCCTCTATGGAACACAGTGGAGGCCTTGCTACAGGGGGAGTGGGTGGGGTTTCTCGGTGTAGAAGACAGAGTGCAGGAGCTCAGGCAGCAATGCTGTGTGCGTGAAGCGAAGACAATGCCAGCCACAGTGCCGTCACAGGACCAGGAGGGCTAGAGGACGTCGGTCTCCCTCTCAATGCCCACGTACTTGAGGGCATCAGCTTGGCTGTACCTATCCCAGAGCAGGGAGGAGGAACCAGGTTACTCTTTAGGCTTCTGTGATTGACAAGGTGAGGTCCACTCCTGTTTCACTTCCTCCCACTCTCTAACAGCCATTTACAGTGTTCCCATTTCTGAGGCAAGCCCCTGGCAACTGTAGACCCTCTCCTCCACCCCCCTTCTGCCCCATTCCCAACCACCTTACCTATAATCAAAGAAGAGCTCTTCACCAGCCTGAATCGCCCTCTTGGCAAAGATCCCAATGCGGTGATCTCCATTCACCATGACCACTGCAAACACGGAGACCCAGGGCTAGCTTCAGTCACCACAAGCCTGTGCCTGGGAGGCATCTGGGCTGACTTCCTCCAAACTCCCAGTGAATCACATGGAAGTAGAAGGGAGCCATGAAGGCACATTTCTCTATCTGTTACCATAGCCACTGACATGGGGAAACGATTATCTTGAAATCACACTTGTGGGAAAGTATTTTTAATGTAGTCAGTCAAAAACACAGATCATGAAAGTGAGAGAGACCTAAAATGAGTATCTCTGGACAAAAGGAAACTCAGCCATGAAAAAAAGTTGAACAATGAACAGAAACCATAGTACTGGAAGTGTCCAGCCCACCTCACCTCCTAGGCTGCTGGACACTCACCTTTGGCGTAACAGTTGGGGTTCACTGAATGGTTTGCAAAGCGAATTTTGTTTCCTTTCCGGGTAGCATCCACTACAAAATCTACATAAATCAAAGAAGATCATGAGTGTCTCAGGCAACTCCATGCTTTGGTTGTTTTTTTTTTTTTTTTTAGAAACAGAATCTAGCTCTGTAGTCCAAGACTGCCTGAAACTTACTGTGGTCATCCTGTCTTAGCCTCCTGAGTGCTAGGATTACAGGTATGTGCCACCATGCCCAGCTTTTGTTTTTTTTGAAATAGAATCTCAACCTATATATGGCCAAACCTGACCTGGAACTCACTATGTAGCTCAGACTGGTCTCAAACTTGTGGTAGTCCTTCTGCCTCAGTCTCTCAAGTGCTGGGATTATAGGCAGGAGCCACCATGATCAGCTTCAATTCCGTGCTTCTTTAGCACTAGTTTAAAAATCAGTAAAATGGTAACAGAAACAATTTAGTCTAATGGGGATGTAAAGCCTAGAGAAGTATTAGGAGATGGGACAGCAAGTGACTGGGAATTCTCTTGCATGTGGGAGAACTCCTTTTAGGTCCTCCTTCTGCATTTCAGATCTCATCTACTGAGTAGGGTGGCTTCTCAGGTGAAAGTGCCCAGTGTTCCCATTCCAAACAACTGGAGTGTAGAAGGCTGCTTGGTAGAAAGGCTTATACAAGATGACCTTGGCATTAGAGAGAGGCCATGTCATACCATTGTTGAGGTTGAAGAGGAAGCTGGACATATACTTATCATAGACCTTCCCCCGGCGATCAGCCTCATCCTGAGAGATAAGCTGGAGGGGGACAGAAGAAACAAAAGGGTGTCAGGCTGGCTGCATGGGGCATGACACCCTGCCCTCTGCCAAGGCTGGGGGGAGCAGTGTCATACAAAGGTGTTAATGAGAAGGAGGCATGCAGGAGAGTGAGCTCGGGCATAGTTCCCACCTCCACCCACATTGACCAGGATGAAGGCTGGGAAGAGCCAGCTCCCTACTCTTGCCAAAGAGTTGAAGAGCAGTGATTTGTTTCAAGATTGCAAACAGTTCTGTGGGATCCCGAGAGGCCACATGAGAACTAGGCTGAGTTATTTAGAGATTAAGTCAGAGAAGTCTAACCCACAGAAATTGGAGTTTCTCATCAGCATCTCCCCAGTAAGAACATGGGCCAAACCCAGAGCACTTACCTCACCACAATATTCAGAAATGAATTCATTTTTCTGCACTGACTCCTTGATAAAGGTACCCCATCCGGCCACATCAGAAGGGGCCAGCAGCAGGTGCTAGGGGAGAGGGAGACGAGCCTCAGATGACAGGGTAGGTTTGAGTGGGTGTGCATGCTGCATGTGCACGTGTATATGGGGGCAGGTGGAAAGTACTAGCAACTGTCAGAGGAATCTGGAAACCTAAAAGGTCTAAACCATTCTGTACTGGGGGTGGGGGACCAAAAGCAGAAGAGGTAGAAGGAAACAGGACACCGTCTTTCTCTTCCTTGGGGTCCTCCTGGGCTGAGGTTGGGCATTTGCTGCTATGTAGGTGATAAAAGGGACAACACTGGAGCTGCAGATATAACCTAATAGTAAAATGGTTGTCCACTATGTGCAAAGCCTTGGGCTCCATCTCCAGCATCAGGGGAAAAAAGACAGCATCAATGGTACATACCCCCTTGTTCCTTCAGTATGACAGAAAACTTTATTAATTTGGCCACATGTGCCTGACAGAATTTGTCAAGCACTTTCACATAGAAACCATCTAAGGAGCTAGAGGAAGAGGGACACCTGGGACTATTTCCTTTCTCCCACTGTTACCCTGATCCATGAAAAGGCCTCACCTTCTTGAGGCCACGCTGGATGCTGCAGTTTTTGCAAGAGACCACCTTGCAGTCCCAGTGCTCCGAGGCCCCACAGGTGAGGCACAGGTCAGGATCACACTCTCGCACTGCTAGATAGCAAGGACACTGCTTGGTATTGCACTGGGTCTTACAGCGACAGCCAGGGAAACGATTCTGACCTGAGTGGAGACATAGGTACGGTTAGAAAGCTCAGGCTCATATTGGTACCTAGCCAGACTGAGAATGGCATAAAAGTAAATTTGACATGTTCAAGTCAAGATAGACAGGAAGATTCTTCCCTATGAACACATATTGGACCTCTTTCTCTTAGAAAATAGAGTGGGGCTGAGGAGATGGCTCAGTTGGTAAAGTTCTTGTTACGCAAGCACAAGGACCTGAGTTTGATTCCCAGAACCGGCATAAAAACGCCAGGCATGGTGATGCCCATGTGCTTATCATACCAGCACTGGGGAGGTGGAGAGAGGAGGATTCCCAGGGCTCGCTGGCCAGACAGCTTAATCTTAACCAGCAAGCCCTAGATTTCAGTGACAAACCCTGTCTCAAAAAATAGGTAGGCTGGAGAGATGGCTCAGTGGGTAAGAACACTGGCTGCTCTTACAGAGGACCTAGGTTTGGTTCCCAGCACCCACATGGTAGCTAACAACTGTCAGTAACTCCAGTTCCAGGGGATCCAACGCCCTCTTCTGGCATCTGTGGACATTGCACAACACAGGTGTATTTACATGCATGCAGGCAAACCACTCATATACATAAAACAAATAAAGTAGGTGAGCTGGGACTGGCAGCACACACCTTTAATCTGAGCACTCAGGAGGTAGAGGTAGCCATCTCATCTCTGTGAGTTCAAGGCCAGCCAGGGCTACACAGTCAGACCCTGTCTCAAAAAACAAAACAACAAAAAACAAGGTAGGTAGCTTCTGAGGAATGACACCCATGGTTGATCTCTGGTCACATATGTACTGTGAACTGCCTCCCAACACTCGTGTCCAAGACTTGAAAGAGCAGGTCTGACTATTAAGTGTGGAGATCCCTCAACAGTGTCCCTCTCTCATCCTTGGCAGATTTAGAAGGGAGGCAAGGAGAACCCCCAGAGAAAATGAAATCAGTGCTTTTCACAGGTAAATCCTCACCATCAAAACAAGTATCATTTTGAGAACAGAATGCATCCGTTCTATATCATCCTCTGCCCACAGCCCTCTCCACACTAGCACTTCTCTGCTGTGGCTAAGATTGTTATCTGTTTCTTGTTAGGAGACAGTCACAGCACACGGCTGCCGGGGCACTGCCTTCTGCAAGCCTCGAGGCTGCCATCAACTGCTCAACCGTAAGTGGGAGAGGTGGCGAAAGGTTAAGGTGGGAATAGAAGGATCACTTTTCAGCTAACATCCAGGCCCTGCATGCGTGAGTGCGTGCGTGTGTGTGTGCGTATAATTTTATTTTTAATTAGGTGTGTGTGAGTTCAAGTGCCTACAGAGGTCTGGAGAGGGCACTTGATCCCCCAGAGCTGGAATTACAGGTGGCTGTGAGCTGCCTGATATAGGGTGCTATGAACTAAATTTGGGTTCTCTGCAAGAACAGTATGCACTTCCAACTGCTGAACCATTTCTCCAGCCCCTCCTACCAGATATTAAAATTCCAGCTAATACAGAAATGTTGACATGAAACTCTTTTACCCTATACAATTAAAATATGCCAACAAGTGTTCTAGAAAAACTCCCAGCTGCTGGGTGTGATGATGCATGCCTTTAATCCCAGTACTCAGGAGGCAAAGGCAGGTGGATCTCTGTGAGATCAAGGCCAGCCTGGTCTACATAGTGAGTTCCAGGCAGGCTGGGGCTCAGGGAGACCATGTCTCAAATAAAGACAAAAAAAGCTGGGTGTGGTGGCACATACCTTTAGTTCCAGCACTTTGAAGGCAGAGGCAGGCGATCTCTGGGAGTTCAAGGCCAGACTGGTCTACATAATGAGTTCCAGGACAGCTGGGGCTACAGGGTGACTGATTCAAAAAGACCAGAAAACAAAAACATCCAAACTGTGTGTGTGTGTGTGTGTGTGTGTATTTTAGAACACTTGCCTTTTTAAAAACATTTGCCTAGCAAGCACAAGGCTTTAGATTCAATCTTTTTAAAAAAAAATATTTTCTTTATTATTTTTATTTTATGTGTATGAGTGTATTGCCTGCATGTATGTGAATGCACTCGTGTCGTGTAATGCCACAGAGGTCAGAAGAGGGCTTCGGATTCCCCTGGAACTGGAGTTAAGGACAGTTTGTAGCTGCCATGTGGGTGCTGGGAATCGAGGCCGGGTCCTCTGCAAGAGCAGTGTTCTTAACTGCTGAGCCATCTCTCTAGCCCCTAGATTCAATCCTTAGTACAATAATAAATATCCAGTTATCAAACAGACATAAAAAACTTTGCATGTGACCTGGGTATGATGGCACACACCTGCAATTTGAGCAGCAGGGAACAAGAGGATCAGGAGTTCAAGGTCATCTTTGACTAAACTGCAAGTTCAAGGCTAGCCTGGGTTAGAGGAAACTTTCAAAAGCCCTAAAAGAGGGGCTGGAGAGATGGCTCAGTGGTTAAGAACACTGGGTATTCTTGCAGAAGACCTGCATTCGAATCCCAGCACCCACATGACAGCTAACAACTGCTCATAATGCCAGTTCCAGGGGCTCCAACAGCCTCTTTTGTCCTCCACGGGCACTGCATGACACAACATGGGTGCACTTACTTACATGCAGTCATAACTCTCATACACATAAAATAAAAATATTTTAAAAAACAAAAAAAACCCCCAAAGAATTCTGTGTATATTCTTTTTCCTTTTAAACATTTTAAAAATTACATTTATTTATTTGTGTATATGTATGTTTATTTGTGCACATATGCACGTGCATGTGGAGGTCAGAGGACAACTTTCAGGAATCAGTTCTCTCCCTATCATGTGGTCCCTGGGCGACTCAGGTCTTTGGCCTTAGTGGCAGGTGCCATTCTTGGCTGAGCCACCTTGCAGTTCTCTTTTCTCCTCTCCCTTTTCCCTTCCCTTCCTAGCCTCCCTTCCCCTCCTCTCTTTCTCCTATGAGGCAGGGTTTTGGACTGGCCTTCAACTCCTGGGCTCAAGTGATCCACCTGCCTCAATCTCTCCCAAATGCTAGGGTTATAGGTGTGTGCCATTGTACTCAGCTGAAAAAATCTGGGGGTGGGGTTGTTGAGACATGGTCTCACTATGTAGCCCAGGCTAGCCTTGAACTCCTGATCCTCCTGCCTCAGACTCTCACACTGGGATTACAGTTATACACCATGACACTTAACCCAGCTAACACATCTTAAAAACAACATCCTAAACAGAGACACTGAATGCAGCTTGAAGAATGATCTTCTTCTTAGTTCTCCCCTGGAAGGAAAAGATGGAGAAGCATTTATGTCTAGTTCCTGCTTTTAGAATCAGAACCTAACAACTTTGTAAAAATTACTCTCTCAGCTGGGAAAGGTGGCACGCACCTGCAGTCTCAGTAGCCTCGGTTACTCAAGAGGTAAAGACAAGAAAACAGAGGAGGGTGGGAGGAAGGGGTAAAAGACTGCTGAAGCCCAGGAGTTTGGGGCCATCCTGAGAAACATTGAAAGACACTGTTTAAAAAAAATAGATCAGGGGCTGGAGAGATGGCTTAGTAGTTAAGAGCACTGGCTCTTCTTGCAGAGGATCCAGTTTGGTTCCCAGCACCCACATGATGGTTAACAACTGTCCCTAACTCCAGTTCCAGGGATCCAACACCCTCTTCTGGCCTCTGTGGGCACTGCACACATGGGTACACTCACATACATGCATTCCTACACATAAAAGTAATTAAACAGCTGGGCGTGGTGGCACACGCCTTTAATCCCAGCACTTGGGAGGCAGAGGCAGGCAGATCTCTGTGAGTTCAAGGCCAGCCTGGTCTACATAGTGAGTTCCAGGACAGCTGGGGCTCCAGGGAGACCCTGTCTCAAAAAGACCAAAAAAAAAAACTTATTTCATAACCACATATTTAGAAGAAGCATTTCATTACAACAGCATTGACATATTCAATAACAATTTCCTGAGCTAAGACGCATCTCTTTCAAAATTGGCTGTAAATTTTAAGGTTTAGAGTTGAATTATTACAGTTATATAATTATATGTATGTATTTTATATATACGGAAAATATATATACACAAAATCCCTTAGCTTTCCCAGATGGCTCCCATGTGCCTTCCCTGTGGAACACCTGAAACACAGCTAGAGAGTATCAAAGGTTCACAGGCAGCTGTGGGGCAGAAGAAGGGGGCCTGGGTACACTGAGGTCAAGCACTTTGGTAGATGATGGAAAAATCAGGGTGTTCTTACAGTCTGGGTTGCACTGGCAGAACTTCTCACAGAAATTCTGGGTCATGATGCAGGGGCAGGTGCTGTCACAGGGGCGGTCTGGGTGGTCACAGGGTTGGTAGTTGTACACTTGTGTGGAAGAGTTATCTAGGAGAGAAGAATTGAGCAGGACACCACTGTGACCAGGCTACCTTGCTGCCCTCCCCTCCAAACATCAAAGCAGGCTTGTTCTAAACTTGATCTTGGAGACACTCAGCACCTGACATGAGAGGATAGAGTGGCTGACCCCTAAGCACAAACAATGGGGTGATCTGCTTTGTGAGCAAGGTGTGGAGATGGCCTGAGATAACAGGGCAGATACTCTGAATGTTAAAAGAGGGCCTGGAACCTGCAAACAGCACACTAGGAAACTCAGAGGCCACAAGGCCTGAAAGTGTACCTCCTGAGGCCTTTGTGGCTGCAGCGAGTGGCTCAGCCCTTCTGAGATGCTGCACAGAATCTGCAATCTGCAGAAACAGCCAGGGTCAACAAGTTGAGCTGTAGGTGGAGCAGGGCGATAGCCACAGGGTGAGGCTTCAGGCTGAACTGCACCCTGGCGAACTTGCCTTTATTCTCTGTGTGTGTGTGTGTGTCTGTCTGTCTGTCTGTGTCTGTGTGTGTTTTCCTGGGATGAAACCCAAGGTCTGGCACATGCTAACCATAAAATCTATCCCTAACTTATACCTCAGCCTGGAACTTACCCTTCTTCAGCTGAATTTTCCTGCAGTGTGCAGCCCACAACCTAGGGAAGAAAAAAAAAAGAAAAGGAGATGGGTTTAGGTCAAGGACCTTGGGTACTGTATAGATGCAGGCAAATAATAGTGTGGCCTGCTAAGGGACTGTTTAACAGCTGTGGAGCATCCATCCAAAGTTCCTTAACAAGAGGGCCCTACTTTGTTACAGAGAAGCCAGAGTCCATCTTCAATCCAATTGGCCTCTCTCTGTGGCACAATTTAAACTTAACACAACCCCTCCCTGAAACATAAAACAACAAACAAACAAACAAAAAGCTGAAGCTTTGTGTTGTGTCTGTCATCGTACTATTTTTCTCCCTTTCCTCTCCCCCTTTTCAGGGGAAGGCTGTTGGGGGGTGTTTTCTGAGATGACAAGAAGGAAGGCCTTTCAGGGACTTTTTTGAGTGAAAAAATTGACAGGAAGAGCCACAAGGACATTTTCTGTTTCTAGAGCTGGTGCCACCTCCCTCCTTTGGTAGGTAATAGTCATTAGAGTGCTAAGCCAGGCACAGTGCTTAATTTTTTTAAACTGCTAACCCTAAATAGTGTTATATAACTGAAAAGCAACACATATAGATAGACAAAGAAAAGGAATAAACTCATCAGAGTTGACAAGTGGGGAAGGTGATCACCACCCAAGGAGGAGAAATGGCCTCAGCATGGAGTCTTTGGTCAGCTCATGTCCTATTGGCCAGAAACGTAAAAGGAAACCAGACAGCTCAGGGTCCTCAGCATGTGGACACGGGGTACAGGGCTGGTCCCAGGCACAGACCCTTCTGGAGCACCAAAGATGCCAGCTCTCAGCTGCGTGCTCCAATAAGATGAGATCAGCCAGCCCTGTGCAGTGGCTGACAGGGAGGCAGGTGTGCAAGGTGTAAGCACAGACAATAGCCCTTGCCTGTGCTTTCTTTTCTTCTTCTGTGAAGGGTTCATGAGCTCATCTGTTGGCAGCTTCAGGATAAGTGATTCTTTGACTGCAAACTGAAAGACCTGCAAGAGAAATCCCACAGGACCTGTCACACCTCTGGAGCCACCTGATCAGGCAAGTGGCTGGGCCAGGTGCTGGGCTTGTAGGGGATCTGGAGTTTGTAAGTAGCTGACTGGTTATCTTTTGAGTCAAAGAGAAACAGGGTGCTATTGGGATATGGGGTCACTGGTTCTGAAGAGAACTCATCAGTTACTCTGAACTGGCAAGAGAGCACTACTGAGCACAGTACCAAGAGGCCCCTACTTTGCTACAGAGTACCATCCTCCTGATCAGCACCTTTCATCTAGCACTCTTCACCAGGCCATAGGGAGACTACAGGTGCTGAGTGAGGCCTGGTAGGAAGTGGGGCACTGGGCTAAGCATCAGCTCCCTCTGCTGGTAGAAAGATCTCCAGAGCCTTGACTGTTCAGTAGAACAGCATCTCAGGAAGGCTGGTTCCTCTTCCTCATGCCTCCACTTTTATAGCACTCATTTTAAGGCTTTTCTTTTGCTTTTTGGCTATAAGACCTTCTGAGACCCTGTAAGAACTATAAACATTATCTGGAAAAGAATGAAATAATTTTTTTGAACACAATTCTATAGACTTTTAGGTTAAGAGCCTGTGCTATGGGTCAGGGAGACCCTTACCACAAAGCCTGATGACCTAAGTTGGATCCTCAGAGCCTACGGTGAATGGAGAGAACCAACTCCCAAAAGTTGTTCTGACTTCCACAAGTGCACAGAGCCATGTGCACACACACCCGCATACACATATGCCCACACACTAATTTTTTTTTTTTTTTAAAAAGAACCTGTGTTGTAAGGAAATAGATACAGGCTCTAAAATGCAACTACAAGTCCCTTTAGCTCATAGTTCTCGTCATTATTCATGTGAAGGAGCACGAAGTACATTCCCAAACCCTAGCAATGCTTGGGGATATGCTCCCAAGAAGAAGCCGCAGAGCCTCTCAGAAGTTCCATGTGGGACAGGTTCCAGCACTGAGATGCCCTTCTTCTTGGACAGACTGGCCTGAACTCCTGACTCCCATTCTTGCTCTGTACTCTGTGGTCTTCTCACTGCTGTCTTTTCTTTAAGAACATTTTAAGGGGCTGGAGAGATGGCTCAGTGGTTAAAAGCACTGGTTGCTCTTACAGAGGACCTGGGTTTGATTCTCAGCACCCATAATGGCAGCTAACAACGGTCTGTTAACTCAAGCTCCAGGGGCTATGATGTACTCTTCTGACCTCTGTGGGCACTGAATGACATAGATTCTCTTACATACATGCAAGCAATACACTCATACTGTAAAATAAAAATAGTAAATCATTTTTTTTTAAAAAGAATGTTTTAAAATTAATTTTTATTTATTCATGTTGTATGGGAGTATATGTGCCAAAGTATATACAAGTGGAGGAAAAGGAACAACTTTAAAGAGTCAGATGAGAGGCATGATGGCACATGCCTTTAATCCCAGCACTCGGGAGGCAGAGGCAAGATCTCTGTGAGTTCCAGGCCAACCTGGTCTACATAGTGAGTTCCAGGTCAGTTGGGGTGACAGGGAGACCCTGTCTCAAAAAAATTTTTTTTTAAATTATTTTATGAGCGTTTTCCTATACATATGTAAGTGTACCATGTGCGTGCCATGTCCCACAGAGGTCATAAGAAGGTGTCGGATCCCCTATAACAGGAGTTACGGATGCTTGTTAGCTTCCATGTGGGTGCTGGGAATTGAACCCAGGTCTCATGGAAGAACAGCCAGTGTTCTTAATCACTGAGTCATCTCTCCAGTCCTCTGTGGTCTTTGCTTGCCTCTACAGCACCAGTAGCTGCTGTCAAATGATATTTTCAGGAAAAGTATGAGTGAGAAGGCTGAGGTCTGAGCCTAGATACTGGGGCTGGAAATTAGAAAACCTGGTAATAGGAAACTTCGAAAAAGCATGCGGCTGGTGGCAGCTGCAGCGGCAGGAATGTACCACTGAAAAAAGACCCACAGGAGCAGGGCACAGTAGCACACACCCACAATTCCAGGGCTTAGAAGATGGAAGCAGGAGGATCAGAAGTTTAAGGCTAGCCTTGATACACAGTGAACCCGAGGCCAGCCTGTGCCACACAAGCAACAATGAAACAAAGGGTCCCCACTAGGATGGAGGCACATGTTGAGAAAGGAACAAAACAGCCAGAAGAATGCAGGCATATCCAGGAGAGTCAGAGTGGCTGGAGACAGAAATATGACTTGGGCAAGGAAAGGTCTGGGGAAGACAGCTCAGTCAGTGAAGTGCTTCCCTTGCAAGCATAAGGACGCGAGTTTGATCCCCCAGAACCCATGTAAAAAAGCCAGGTGTGCAACTGTATAGTGCTCTGGAGGCAGAGATAGAGGGATTCTTGGGGCTCTCTAGCCAGCCAGTCTAGCCTAACTGCTGAGTTCCATGCCAGTGAGGTGAGAGACCCTCAAAAAAAAGGATGGACAGCAACTGAGCAATGACACTCAAGGTTGTCGCACACGGAAGCATACAGGCACACATGTACGACCTGAGCAAGGAGAGCAGACTGCCAAGCAACGCAGGCCTGGTGTCTGGAGATATCATGTTCAAGAATCTGCTTCAGGACCCAGAAGCAGACATTTGCAAGAGACTGTCCAGACACACAGCCTGGTGAGATGGCAGAGGGACAGTGCAATGATGGAGGGAGGGCCCACATTCCTGCTTTGTTTTCAGGAAGTACCTGCTTGCACGTCTTCGTCCCCAGAAGCCGGGCTATTGAACAGAAGTTGTTGAAGTAGGTGCCATGGAAGACTCGAAAAAGCGATTCTTCAGCTCCAGTCCACTCCACGGGCTCCGAGGGGGCTTCCACAACACAGAGCTGAGCTGGGGCTGGGCTGGCTTTCTGTTTTGTGGGGGTCTGACAGCGAGAGTTAGCCTCTGAGGAAGGGAGAAAACCAGAAGATTGAGGAATGTAGTTGTTTGTAGTTTGTAGTATCAGAAGTACATCACTCTATTTTGAAAGGGAGAATACTTAATGTAAAGGGGGCTGGGTGTTGGGGCACATGTTTGTAATTGAAGCAGAGTATAACTGAATCACTGCAAGTTTGAGACTAGTCTAGTCTATATAGTTCCAGGCCAGTTCAGGCACATACCAAGGCCTTGTACCAAAAAATATTCCCTACTTTTCACTGCTTCCAGGAAAACTGGTAGAAAGGCTTAACAATTTTTAAAAGATAGAACTATTCACATTTGGGCACTGGGCTGGCATGGCAGTACATGCCTTTAATCCCAGCACAGGAAGCAGAAACAAGTGGATCTCTATGAGTTCGAGGCCAATGTGGTCTATATGGTAAGAATCTGCCCTACCCCCAAGAAGTCTGGAGAAGAGAGCTCAGTTGAGGGCATATACGACTCTTTGAGAGGACCCAAGTTCAATTCCAAGCACCCATGTCATGTCAAGTGGCTCACAAGCACAGGCAGGGGATCCAACACCTCTGGCCTCTGTGAATAACAGTACTCATGTGAACATACACATACAGACACAAAATTAAAAATATAGTGGGGCATGGTGGCACACCTTTAATCCTAGCAATGGGGAGGCAGAGGCAGGTGGATTGGGGAGATCAAGGTCAACATGGTCTACATAGTAAGTTCCAGGTCAGCCAGAGCTACAAAGAGCCCCTGGATCAAAAAAAAAATTTAATTTAAAAAAAAAAAAAAAAGAGTTGGGCACTGACCAGAGTTCTTGAATGAAAAGGAAAGATGGACATTTTCCGTTCACTGTACCTGATGAACTGGAGGCCCAATCATTGCCTGTGTCCCTGTCACTGTCTCCCTCTTTAGTCTCAGCCACAGCCGAGGTGGATGTATTAGAGCAGGAAGCACTGACCACATGGTGCCTTCGCCGACGGCGCCCAGAGCACTTGGACCTTGGGTTATGGAGCATGGCGTACTCCTTTGCTCCCTCCTATGGGAACATATTACAGGTAGGAAAAAGAACAGACACAGAGCCACTATCACAAACTTTCATCTATGCTTACATGCAATGATCCTTTGGTTTTTATCTGTTCCATGTTAAGTGTGATCATATTATGACAGCTGCTTAGTGAACATTCTAAAACTTAAAAAAAAAAATCCCTTTTCACAGGTGCCCTATAATCTTAAATTTTTTTTAAAATTTATTTTTATGTGTTTGAGTGCTTTGCCTGCTTCTAAGTGCACCATGCGCTTGCAATGCCTGGGGAGGCTAGAAGAGGGTGTTGGAGCCTCTGGAACTGGAGTTACTTATGGTTGTTAGTTGCCATGTGGGTGCTGAGATCCAAACCTGGGTCCTCTGCAAGAGCTGCCAGTGCTCTTTTTAAAAAACAAGTATTTTGCTGGGCGTGGTGGTGCACGCCTTTAATCCTAGCACTCCAGAGGCAGAGGCAGGTGGATCTCTGAGTTCAAGGCCAAGGCCAGCCTGGTCTACACAGTGAGTTCCAGAACAGCTGGGGCTACAGGGAGACCCTGTCTCAAAAAGACCAAAACAAAACAAAAAAAACCCAAGTATTTTATTTTATTTTATTTTATTTTATTTTATGTGTATGAGTGTTTTGCTGGCATGTATGTTAAGTGCACTACACACATGCAATGCCTGCAGCAGCTAGAAGAGGGCACTGGATCCCATGGAACTAGAGCCATGGACAGCTGCTAGCCACCATGTGGGTGCTGGGAACCAAACTTGGTTCCTTTGGAAGAACACCAACTGCTCCCAACCGCCGAGCCACCTCTCCAGCCCTTCTTTTCTTTTTTCAGTGTTGGGAATTGAACCCAAGCATGGCAGGCAAGTGCTCTACCACCAAGTTACATTCAAACCCTAAAAATACTAGTTCAAATAAATACTAAGCAAAATGTTTACTATAAATCAAAACACGCCATCAGTGTTAATTCATGAGAAATCTGGAATAAAGGAACATGGTAAGCAACACCCTCAGAAAACAACGAAGTTCAGAAGAATGTGGGTCACCTGATAAGATGACCAGCCAGAACTTCAGAAAGAAGAAATGAGTGATGGTATTATTTGAGGTTAGCCAAATGTGGCACCTGACTGGATGAAAACTTAGTTTGAAAACTAAAGACAAGTGAAATGTTTGGGCTGTGGATATGGTTCACTGACAGAGATGTGCTTAGCAAGAATGAGACCTTGGATTCAACCCCCAGCACCAAACCTTTCCTCAAACATTTGAAAAAAGATGGAAAAATATTCCAAATCCAAGAAGAAGGCCTTTTTCAATTTCTTTGTACTTTAAAAAAAAATATGCTCTTTAAGAGCTGAGTATGCTGGGTGCACACCTTTAATCCCAGCACTTGGGAGGCAAAGGCAGGCCCCAAAAGAATGAATGTAAGGAGATGGAGAGATGGCTCAGTGGTTAAGAACACTTCCTGCTTTTCCAAAGGACATCTGTAACTCCAGTTCCAAGGGATCTGACATCCTATTCTGGCCTCTGTGGGTACTGCAGGCACATGGTGCCTTACATACATGCAGGCAAAACATACACATAATTTTTTATGTCTATGAAAATATATAAGTAAGTGCTGGGCATGGTGGCACATGTCTTTAATCCCAACACTCAGGAGGCAGAGGCAGGTAGATTTCTGTGAGATCGAGGCCAGTCTGGTCTATATAGTAAGTTCCAGGCCAGCTGGAGCTACAGGGAGACCCTGTCTCAAAAAGATAGAAAAAAAAAAAAGCAAATAAATCTTAAAAAGTATTTTTTAAAAGATATTTGAGTATAAGCTGGGTATTGTGGCATACTCTGTAAACCCAGCACCCAGGAGGTGGAGGGAGGATAGTTCAAGGCCAGCCTTAGCCACACAGTGAATTTGAGGTCAGTCTGGTCTACATGAGACACCATCTCAAAAAAATCATTACCTTCACACAACAAAATAAAGATCTGAGTGTGGTGGTACATGTCTGTAATCCCAGCATTTGGGAGGATGAAGCAGGATCTGGAGTTCAGGCTAGCCTGGGCTGTATATGAGACTTGTCTCAAAACAAAAGGGGCTCAAAAGGTGGCTCGGTGGTTGAAAGCACTTGCTGCTTTTGCAGAGGATCTAGGTTCAGTTCTCAGCACCCAAATGGTGGCTAGCGACAATCTGTCACTCCAGTTCCAGGGACCTGACACATTCTTCTGGCCTCTGCACGCACTCTACGCATGTGGTGCACTTACATTCATGCAGGCAATAAATAATAAAAAGTTAGAATGCAGGGCTGGAGAGATGGGTCAGTAGTTAACAGCACAGGCTGCTCTTGCGGAGGACCTAGGTTTGATTCCCAGCACCCACAAGATGGCTAACAAATATCTATAACTCCAGTTCCAGGGGATCTGACACCCTTTGCTGGTCTCCATGGGCACTGCACACATTGGTGGACTTACATACATGCAGACAAAACACTAATACATATAAAATACTTTTAAAAAAGTTAGAATGGGTTGGGAATATAGCTCAGTGGTAGAGCACTTGCTATACTGCATGAAGATCAAAGTTTAATTTTCAGCACCAGAAAAAAAGTTAAAGAAAAAATATAAACATTAAAAGTTGGGGGCCAGGAATGGTGGTACATGCCTTTAATCCCAGCACTCAGGAGGTAGAGGCAGGTAAATCTCTGTGAGTTTGAGGCCAGCCTGGTCCACATAGTGAGTTACAGGTCAGCTGGGGCTACAAGAAGACCCTGTCTCAAAAAGACGAAAAAAAAAAAAAAAAAGTTGGGGAACACTGGGGCCGGAGAGATGGCTCAGTGGTTAAGAACACCGGCTGCTCTTGCAGAGGACCCAGCACCCACATGGCAACTAACAACCATCCATAACTCCAGTTCCAGGGGAATCTGATGCTCTCTTCTGACCTCTGCAGGCACTGCATGACATGGGTACAGGCAATACACTAATACACATAAAATAAAAATAATTTAAAAAAAAAAAGTTGGGGAGTACTTCTGTTTCTCTTCAGATTGCCCAAGTCTCTTGTGTTTTATTGAAAAAATTTTAAGGATAGGAACAATTCTGAGTTTTTAATTAATTTTTGAGGCCTTGCTTTGACAGAGCTGGACATCTTGTCCTTAAAGAAAAACTAAAGTTGGAGAAGAGAGCCTAGCATATTTGGATATGTGCTCATAACTAAAAAGCAGTAACAGAAAAATCTGTGCATATGTATCTCTGTACGTTAAACAGACACACACGTGCCCTGCCAGCAGTTCTGCAATGCTGCACAGGGTTCTAGAGTGATGACTCTGAGAAGGATGATGCTTTTGAGTTATGTTGACATTACATGGGAAAGAAGCCTTGAATAATTAGAAAAGCATGGTCTATGGATTTAGAGCAGGCCTGAACTGCATCACTGCCATACCACTGACTTATTAATAAATTCTTTGTGCAAAATATGTAATGCTATAACCCATAACTTCGTCCACCTGAGAGCACTGTGAAAATAAGACAAAACAGGGTATGGTGTGGCACTCAACATAGAGCGGACTCAATGCACATGAGAGAAAAAAATGAGTTGGGGAAAAAGTTAATTTGGTCTTTTAGCTGTTCCCACATAGCCCACTTCCAGATGTGAAATAAATAACATTTTCTACCGTTCTTCCTTCTGTAATCCTGTTAAAGATGCCCCACAAGACACTGGCTTTATAAATTGTAATTGATGGCAGAGATCTTATCAAGGTAGTATATCCTTTCCTTAAGTCCAAGCTGCTATGTGGAAAGCTGAAGAGCATCCTCAGCAAGTCTAGCTACAGCAGAGGCACGTCCTCTGGGAGTTGTCCTAAGAGGGACTTCTCCTTTCCCCTCTCCCTTTGCAAGGTTACCTCTCCTTCTTTTGCTCAGCATTCTGGATTCTAAAGACAAGTCACATCTTAAATAAGATGAATGACTAGAGAGATGGCTCAGCGGGTAAGAGCACTGACTGCTCTTGCAGAGGATCTGGGTTCAATTCCCAGCACCCCACATGGCAGCTAACAACCCTTTGTAACTCCAGTTCCAGGGGATCCAATGCCCTCTTCTGACCTCTGCAGGCATTGCACGACAGGGGTACACTCACATACATGCAGGAAATACACTCATACACATAAAATAAAAATAATAA